AGTTAAAGCATAAACACTAAAAGTTGCGAATTTGAACAGATTTAAAGCATTATGCCTTTCAAACGAGGTTACACCATCTCAGTGGAATAAAGCTGTTATAGTAGTCATGCACAAAAAGGGAGATATAACAGAGCTAAAGAACTATAGACCTATTAGCTTATTATCTCACGTTTATAAGTTGTTTCTGAAGATAATATCTAATAGGTTGACATCAAAACTAGACTTCTATCAACCTTGCGAGCAAGCAGGATTTAGAGCTGGATACGGAACAAATGATCATTTGCAAACCATTAAGTCGTTGATTGAAAAAACCATTGAATATAATCAGACCCCTGATACTTCTCTTTGTCGACTTTGAAAAAGCATTTGATACGGTCAATCAAAGTGAAATGCTCCAAGCTCTAACACAATGTAGAATAGATCACCGATACATATCTCTCATCAGATACATGCTACAACATGCTACAACATGCTACTACATGATCTATCAACATGCTACAGTCTGTGTAAGACTTAATGAAGATACTGGGACTTTTCGTATTGAAAGAGGCGTTCGGCAAGGAGACAACATGTCTCCTAAATGATTTACAACTTTGCTAGAATACGCTTGTAAAACAATAGATTGGAACGAAAAGGGCATCAATGTAGATGGAAAATGTTTAAATAACCTTAAATTTGCAGATGATATCGTTCTTATTGCAGACAGCTTTGATCAGGCACAGATAATGCTCCAAGAACTCAATACTGCCACAAAAAGAGTTGGTCTTAAAATAAATTTTTCAAAAACACAATTTATGACAAATTTAGTGCACAACAAAAATATCTCAGTAGAAGACAAAGATATTGAGCCAATTGACTCCTATAAATACTTAGGCCATGAAATCAGAATAAGTCGAGACAACCAAACAATCGAGCTGAAAAGAAGAATAAATCTCGCTTGGGCTGCATTTGGAAGGATGAAGGATATTTTTAGGTCTAAGATTCCAATGTGTCTGAAAAGAAAAGTATTTAATCAATGTATTTTGCCAGTGACCTACGGCGCAGAAACCCTAACGCTCACAAGAACAACAGTGAGTAAACTACAAGTTGCGGAAAGAGCAATGGAGAGAATTATGTTAGGGATTTCTCTACGTGATAGAATACCCAATGCTACTATACGCAAAAGATCAGGAGTAGCAGACGTTATTGAAAGGATAACAACACTAAAGTGGAACTGGGCAGGTTATGTAGCAAGATCAGTTGATGACCGGTGGACAAAAAGAATTTTGGAATGGAGAGCCCGAATACAAGCTTACAGAAATAGAGGTCGACCCCCAACGAGATGGACAGATGACATAAAAAGAGTGACTACAAATTGGATTCAGATGGCGCAAAATCGGACTAAGTGGAAAAGCATGCGAGAGGCCTATGTGGACGTTAGAGGCTAGTTGATGATGAGTTGATGAAAGCATTTGAAACATGGGTAAGTATACAATGTTACGAATACCTTGGACTTACTACATCACCCACTTGGAAGTTCTCCACCGAATGATCAGAGAACATAAGCTCATGGAAATCATAAAAGATCGGAAAGTACTACATATCTCAGGGGGTAAGACTAAGGACAAATGTGGACCAGGACAAAGGCAGTGCTCATGGCTTAAAAACATATGGGATTAGTCAGGCTTGTGCTCTGATAATCTGCTGAGGAAAACAAAACCAAGAGAAAAATTTGCCAAAACTCTTGCCGATCTTCGATAGGAGAAGACACTCCAAGATGAAGAAGTTTTTTTTATAGTATCACTATCATGTCACATAAACAGTTTCTTGTAGAGCTGGTACCTCCATTCTATGTTTGTCTATTTCTCTGAGTAAATTTTGTAGAGCTCATAATCTGTGTAGGTACCTACCGAATATTTCAAGTCGCAATCCGTAGGTCATGTACTTTTTTGTCCTTATTCGTTGTCGCGTATTTTAATTAGATACATTTTATCTGATAAAAATCTTGTGCTTTCTTTACCACCGAAAAACTGCTTTCAAACTGTTCGGGCATACACAGGATGTTGCAATTTAGAGTTTCTATGTATAACTTTTAACTTAAATAAATGACAGTTTTAGTTCAATCGAGCGTATTGCACTAAATAGTTCACTTTATGTAACCATTAAAAATTTATCGGCTACATATGTCTACAGAATATAACCGAAAATATCCAAATCAACGAAGCCATATGGATCGAGGTGACGCGTGAGGTACATACAGCGAGTTGTAAAGATTTAGAAAAAAAATTAATTACTTTTTAGATCAATTTTAGAGCAGTACAGCGTCTTAGGATATTACCAGCTAATATTTAGACCACATAGAACCGTATACGTATAAAACCAATGTGTGTATTGTATTAGAATTATATTAGGTAATGCTTGAAATTGTGTGATTTACTAGATTGACTAGTTAATTTTGTCCCTTGGTTACTAATTTAGCAAAATGTTATCAAGAATAATATTAATGTGAACCAATTAAATATATTTTGACAACAAAGATTTATTAGGATGTTTGTGATTTTACGAAATAATATTTAAAGATGTTTTATTTTGTGAGTTAGATACAGTACAAGTAAGGCAGGAAAATATATTGTCTTAGGCAAAATTATATTTTTAGATTATAGAATGATTGTGTACCTTATACAACATTGCCTTCACAAGCATAAAAGACAACATTTTTGTTGAAGTATCTTATAAATTCAAAACTTTCTTTTTCAAGCGTTTATCTATTTCACATAGTAACGGATATGGCTTAGGTTACATTTTTGTTAATGTTCAACTTTTTTTCATCATCATCATTCTGGTTTTATAACCCTGCGTAGGTACTAGCCTCCTGAAGAATTTCTCCTCAGTCGTCTCTATCCATTTCCTTCCTTGACCAAGCAACTATTCCCATATTCCTTATGTCCTCATCGATATTATCAAGGGTCTTCCTCTTCTTCTCTGACCAATGGATATAGTGAGGAACGTTTTTTTAGCTGGGTCATTTTGTTTCATCCGCATTACATGTTCTATCGACCTTAGATATCTTATTGTAATATATTTTACGATATTTGGCTCCTGGTATATTCTATGAAGTTAAGAAAGAGATTGCAGTTTCCGCATTCGCAGTTGCCCCTGAATTCGTATGTTACAATCAACTTTTCCAAGAGTTGATACAGGGTCATAGGCTGCTTTATAGACTATAAATATGTGATAAGTATATATACGATATTCCCGTTGTTTTTTCTAAAATTTGCCCCAGGGCTGCAATGTGATAAATTGTCGATTTACCATCTCTGTAATCAGCCTGGTATTTTCCTACTATTCGTTCTGCATAGGGTGCTATACGGTGGAAAATATTTTGTATGCTGCATTTAGAAGCGTAATTACTCTGTGGTTAGAGCATTCAAAAATATCCCTTTTTTGTGTATGGTGCAAAGTATTCCAATATTCCAACCACTGGGGAGAGATTTCTGTGTCTATATTTCATTTATGGGATTGCTGTAGTGTCATTATGGTATCGTGGCCACCGTTACCTTCAAGAATCGTAAGTGGTTCCTCTTCACTCTCATCTTGCCGCTTGCCTCATCTTCTTTGTCTTCCAAATTTACTTCTTGTTCCTTTATATTAAGTACCTGGTTAAATTATTTCACCCATCTATTTATTACCAATAATTTAGGTTATAGGTTAATAGGTCACCATTCCGACTTATGTCCCCTGTGTTTCCCCTGTTGTTCTGTCTACGAAGTAACAGCCATTATAAATGTTATTCCTTCGCTTAAACAGACATTGTAAATTTTAACATTCCTGAAAATCGAAGGTGAAAGAGCACAAAGAAATTATTCTGGAACAAATCTGTACAAAAAAGGATGTACATTTGTTAAATTATGAGTATAATTTCAGTGTATGAGGACTGTATTACATAGGGCTAGTTTAAATAAATTAGGATATGTAGTAAAGGGTTATACAGACAATAGCAAATTAAGTTTATACAAAGTCTTACCAATATTTCTCCTGCGCACACACTCGCGGTATTGACAGGCTTTCAGTCGCAATTGTTCTTCGTACGGGAAGGCTGTTCGGGTTACCGGTTTTGAACACGTATCTCGCGGTACTAACACTGAGATCACGAGATAGAGCACATTTTGCGTCTGTACACGATTTAGTTAATATTTGCGGTATTTTTCGCGTAACTAAAAGCGGGTGAGAGAGAGAGAATGTCTGTTGTTAGCGGCAGTCAATAGTAGAGAGGATACCTCTGTTAACAATAGTCAACAGGGAAGATAGAGCATCTGTCTTCAGCAATAGATAAGAGGCAAGAGGATACGTCTGTATTAAACGGTAGCCAACAGGGAAGAGAAAGTCTTTCTTCTTTGCTATTTTAAAACTGTCTGTATTTCTAAAGAAGATTTTATACTTACGTCTAAACATTTTTTATACTTACGTCTTTTTATTACATTTTAATCTTTTATTTTTATATTAACTTATGTTCAGTAGTTAATACTACTTTATTTACTTACTATTATCTCTAATACGTTATCGTAGCTTTGCATAAAGTTTGGTATTTATGACAGATCTTTTCTAATTCACAATAATAAACTTATTGGTTTTGAATCGTCATTTTGTAATTTTTAAGGTCGTCTAGTGGTTGTCTTACGGTATGTTAGTCTTCCCTTGATCTCTTCTTAAAGATTTTCTTAGTATGTGATCATGATAAATCTATGGCATTTTATGGACTTTTTAAGGAAAATTATTAAAATTTACCTTGAATTATATAAATATAAATATAATATATTTCCCTACTTACTTTTTCATTTTGAAGTATACCAATCTATTTCAATTAAAAAATGTTATTCCGTAAAATCGTTAGTTTCGTTTTGATGTGCTAAATAACTTAGAAGTATTACATTTAAAATCGAGCTAGAGACTATAGAATAGTTCATTAGATTAGTTGCTATTACCACAATTTTTTCAAATATTTTAAATAATTTATTTTATAGGAGAGAGTTGCGAACTTATTGGGAGTTGCTGGAACGGATATTCCTATTGAATACATCCAGAGACTTATGATTCCATATAGGGTGAGTAAGTTTTATTATACACTCAGATGCAAAAAAATGAAGCGGAGAAAACTTTGGTCAAATTCAAAGTATTTAAATTTTTATGTTTAGGTATTTTGATGATTTTTTAGCACACTGTGTATAAATTTATAAATTTTAATTTGATATAGTCAGTTTGTTGGTAACATTTTATATTTGAATTATTGTACAATGTTATTAAAACGTGGTTTTATTATCCTAACTTTAAAACATCCTGTGGAATAATCCCGTTTGCGAATTTTCGTTATACCTTATTTTTCGGTTGCAACCATGTCTCTTCAGCATTGTGTTTTTTGTTTTATGTCAAAATATGTTTGGGTTCATTTTTTAGAGCCGAATGAATTTGCCACCCACAATTTAGGCTTTTTTAATTATGAATATTATGGAGTTATTTTGTACTACGACGAGGTGGCTTTGGTGACTGTTATCATTATGTCATATTGACACTTACATTTTGTTTACCGATGTTTGATCATAGTTCTTAGTGTCGAAGATTGTGCGAAAGCCGTTGCTTTTGATGAAGATGGGCGAAATTATGAATATCTGGCTAGAATACTACACACTCATCGCTCTACCTTCCAAAGGGTATTGGAACCTTTTTTATACGAACTGGAACAAAAAAGCGTGAAGCGGGAACGCTTTGCAGGATCGTCATTTAACAGCGGTGCAAACAAGAAATCAGCTTCAAGAGGTTTGAGGCAATAATGTAAGTGTATTAACAGTTCGTCGAAGATTACATAAATTTGGTTAGCAAAGTTGCAGACTGGGCCCAAATTACTTACACGGCACAAAGTGACTAGACTATAATTTTCCAGGGAACATTTACATTGGAATTTAGGAAAATGGAGTCATATTCTTTTTACCGATGAGTCGAGATACTGTCTTCACTCATCAGATGGGTGAAAACGAGTATGGTGTCGAACTGGAAAGAGATTTGCGGAGTGCGCTTTAATCCACGCTTCAACCATGGAGGGGGTTCGATAATGGTATGGGCAGGAATATCCCAAGAGGCGCGCACTGAATTGGTATTTATTGAGGATTCGTTGACTGCACACCAGTATATTAAGGAAATTTTAGCGAATCACGTAGTACTCTTTTCTCAATATGTCGGCGATGATTTTCTATTAATGCAAGATAATTCGCCACCCCACTCTGCAATGTGCGTTACGCAATATTTAGAGGAAGTTGGTATTAATAAATACGTGTTCGCCAGATCTAAACTCAATAAAGCAGTCTGGGACATGTTTGGTAGAAATATTAGAGGTCGCGAAGTCATTAGGTATTATTAGGTATCTAGAAGAGGAATGGCAAAACATCCAGCAAGATGATATTCGCAACCTCATAGACAGCATGAGCCGACGTGTACAGGCAGTTATAGAGGCTAGGGTAGGCAATACAAAGTATTAAGTTATTTTTTAGTATATTTCTTTGTTATTTGCGTACTGTTTTTTTATGTTTTCATGTCGTTGTTTATAATCATTATTAACATACAGTGCTTCTGGAATTTCCATATGACATTTCTTCGATATCAGGCACTAAAGCCCCCATCGTCGTATTATAAAATAATACAAAAGATAATGGTAATAATAGAATAAGGCGTAAAATGTGGGTGGCAAAAATGAACCAATCCATATATTCACATGAAACAAAAAACATAATACTGAGAAGACATGGTTGCAACCGAAAAATACGCTAACGGAATTATTCCACGGGATTTTTTCAAGTTTCGATTAACCCCGTATAATAAGTCAAATACAAAATTTTATTAAAGAATTCAGTATACTAAATTAAAATTTATAATTTTTACAATGTGCTAAAAAAATCACCAAAATAGAGCTAAAAATACAAAAATTGCAATACTTTAAATTTGATCAAAATTTTCTCCGTCTGGCTGTATAATCAAACATTGTTAACAATTTTATTTTTTTTTTGTAGCTCGGGGTGAATGGCTATGCCTTTATTGTAACCAATAATGGTTATGTTTTAACGCATCCAGATCTTAGGCCAGTGGTAAGTAGCTGCTTAAGATTTTTTCCTTTTTTCAGTAGTATATGCACGAGTTTACTCATTGAGACAAATTTCATAAAGTTAGATAATTAACATTACCCGACCGTAAAGCTAACAAATTAAAAAAGAAGTTACATGTACCATGTACCTACTAATAAGAAAAACATAGTTTTACTTAAATACTCGAGAGATAACTAATTACGGATATACATGAAGAACTTTAGGCGGCATGATCTCGGAAAATTGTTCTATGATGGCAAAATGGAACGATTAAATATTAACTTTCACAGAAAGGAAATTGAAATACTATAACCGTAGGCGTGGCCACAATCGTTCATTTCTTGAAATAACTAATTTGCGAACATTTTGAGTAATATTAAATAAATGAGAGATTAAACTAAAAAGTAAAGCTTTAGTAGTACATAAATTAAAAATTATAAATTATAAATATATCGTTTTTTTTTAATACGTATATATTTACAACGGACCACCACCGTTGGTATTTTAAAATTAAATTGAGGAGACAAGCGTATTATTAACTGAATTAATTTGTGAAGGAGTTGGCATGCAAATAACGATTGGCATGGGTGGGTTTTCCTTTATGATAACGTCGAGAAACGGTAGGGATGAATCAGTTTCCACCTCCATTGTGGTCTGAGTACTAGGATTTATTCCATTCAGATGGGTTTGAAAAAACACTAAAACATCCCTGCCATGGGGCCAAATGACGAATGTATCGTCAACATATCGTAACTAACATGTGCGTTTAAGCATTGATGTGGATAGTGCTCGGGTCTCGAAGTCTTCCATAGAGATATTGGCAATTACTGGAGATAGTGGGGAGCACCAATAATTTATCTGTAGAATTAATTTTGAAAGATGAAATTAGTGTTGGACATACAATGTTTAATGAGAGATATTGTTAGAAGTTTTTTAACGATTTTGCGGATTATTCAACATATTTATAAAGAGTGGTTGCTGCAGTTGTTGAAAAGATCTTTTGTCATAGTTCTCCAAATATCTGCTGTAAGATGGAACTTCAATACTGATTCCTTCACCATGTGCCAAATGTATGCATGAAGTGTTTATAGAGCTATGTACTCGAAGAGTATTCCACGAGAGATTTTCGGGATGTAAGACTAGTAGCATATGTATCTGTAGATTTCTGTATCTACTAGCATATTGTTTAGGATTAAACTTGAGAGGTCGCTGGTTAAATTATATATCAGATAAATAATTATAACGAAAAATGCAATAGTGGTTGGTACACAAAATTGGTGAAAATAGCAACTATAAATTGTAAATAAGTTATGAAATCAACTGGTTTACTCATTTTCAATGTTTTGTACAAAGAATTATAAGGCTTACCCTTTGGTTCTACTGATGAGTTCGTACCAGGCTGAAGAGTTGGTCGGTGGTACCGACGCTAGCGTCGTCGTCGCCCGAGGCTTAGCACGAGAACGGTCCGGAACTAGATGCGTGTCGATCGATCGTTGTCTGACGAAGAAGTGATTTTTAGATCGTTTCTAGGGTACAAACCAGCCTCTAACTGTGGGGTGGTCAACAGCTCCTAGGCCGGGCATGCCATAAATCAACCATGTGTTTCAATCTTTCTGACATAGAATACAAAGAAAAAAGCCCAATTCTGCATACTTTAACATGATACATGAGAGCCAGTTTAAGTTTTACGAACTCACAGGAAATAATATATTTTAAAAAGATCTTTGAAATACAGCACCCAAATTAGGTCATATTACAGTACCGTATCAGAAAAAATATTAACTGTAAAAATATGAAATGAATTCGCACATAATTTCCCAAACACATATGTATCTCTAGATTTCGTATGTGTCAAAAATTTCGTAAATTTTCAATAAAATCTGTAATAAGGTTATTTCTGTAACATTCTTGGTTAACAATAACTGGATGCTGGTTTTTATCTTTAAGCAAATAATGACCAATAATCACATGCCCAGACACAGCACACCAAAAAGTAACCCGTTCAGTGTAGGGTGGTTTCTGTATAATTGGATTTGGGCGTTCTTTGATTTGTCATAAGTATGTACAAAAACATATCAATCCTTTCATTCTGATTTGAATTCTTCAGAAATAGAAGCTGAAGTAAGACTTTTTAAAACAAGAAAAAGTAAACATTTTTCATCTTCGTAGAAATATAAAATCGATGTTTCCAGTCCACCTGAACCAACTAATAATAAAGCTGGGAATAATAAAATCGATACTGCAATCGACAATGCTGCAAGACTATTTGGAATGTCCAATGGTGTCTTTTGTTGAACAAGAACTTGCTCTAAATATAGATAAAGATTTTGTAATTGACGAGTTTATAAAAAAAATCGTACCATTCCAGCGACGAATAGCATTGTAATCTATTGTTATAAGTTTTTAATACCAATCTAAATATTTAATATATTTTTTATGTATGTGACCTCCCATATTTTTTTTCTGATCACGCAATCATTTAATATAAAAGAAACGTTACTCATTTCAAAAATTTATTGTTAAAAAATATATTTTGAATTTAAAAAATTATTCCAAAAAATTGTAAACTGTTTTTCATATATGAAAATATCATCGATGGAAATTTAAAAAATGCAAAATGACACGATTTTTAGCATTGCAACTCACACTAAAACATCCTGGCCACGCCTATGGCGACATACATACTGCATTTATTTAGTAAAATTTGCATTTATATGTTTTTATTGATTGTTATGTACATACATTGTTTTCTTTTCAGTATCAAGGAATATTGAAACCAGCCTACAACAGAGTCGATATGATTGAAATTGAAATTATAGATGATGACTCTGACGCTAGAAATTTTAGCGATAAAATTCGTGATTTTAGAAGGCACGTTGTAATGCAAAATACTGGAAATATTACTTTGGATGTGAAAAGTCATTTGGATGACATGGTAAGTTTTCCTGGAAAACATTAATAAATATTAAATTTAGACACATAGTGCTATAATAATTAAATTTAAAAACATTTTGTGTTTTGTAAATAATAATAAATTAACATTAAATATTGTAATGTACAATTGTACAAATTGTAATGAAAAACATAGAGCTTTAAAATATGTATTTTATGTCTGCAATGTCTAACAATAGCATAGAAATAAAGTTTTGAAGAAAAAAATTCAGCCAGAACATAATTGCCAGCTAAATACAGTAGGCTATTGATTATGTACTTTAGAAAGTAACTACAACACAGGGTACGTTTTTAATAAGGGTTGAATTAGTCCGTATTACATTACGGTGCATATGGGTGAATTATATGTAGTTTTTGTACGTTTACAGAAAAGATGTTAAAATGAAATTTCCTATCGAAATGTCTCATTTTAAAGTGGAAAATCATTTTTTTTTGACAAAAATAAAGTAAAAAACTTTTTCGATTTTTCTTTTTTGTTCCATAACTTTTCTCCACGGGGGTATAGGTATATGCATTGCTTCACAGAAAAGAAACCACATATGATTTTTCACAGTTCGCCACTGACACCATTTTTGGACCAGTTTCCCTATTTTTTTTTTGCAAACATTATTCTATAACTTTTTTTAGGCTAGTATACTACTTACATACTTACATTACGACTAGTTATAAGTAGACATAGTAAAGTTTTCTACTTTTACTTTTCACAATTTTTTCTTTTACGTCCATTTTTTAAATTTCTCTCAACTTTTTCTTATAATTTAAATATATGTATGTATTACTAAATAAAAAAGAAAGCTTATTTTCTATACTTAAAATATTATATTTTAAAATATTCTTGGAATAACGGTAACCAAGAAATGGTTCGTTAAAATGTGATCCCTGCAACGATTTGAATATACCTGAATGTACAAGGAAATAAGTTATAACTAGAAATTAAAAAAATATCTGTAAAAGTTATTAAAAATCGTTGCAAGCAGCACATTTTGACGAACCATATCTTCGTTAACGTTAGGCTTATAAAGACGTATTTTACAGTAGTAGATAAAGAATATTTTGCAATAGACTATTTTAAAGTACAAAAATAAGCTTTCTTTTTTATTTAGTAATGCATTAGTATAGTATTTTATTTAGTAATGCATTAGTTATTGTATTAAGTACCTAAATGTACAAGAAAAAAGTTATGAGGAATTTAAAAAATAGCCGTAACAGCAAAAATCATAAAAAATGGAAAACTTTGAGGAACTGTATCTTGCCCAAAGTTAGTCCTACAGTTAGTTCTACAATAGACCGTTTTAAAGGTAATTGATTTTTACATATACTAAAGCTGCATAGAAAAAAGTTGTAGAAAAATGTTTGCGAAAAAATGGTGTAAGTGGTGAACTTTGAAAAATCGTATCTCGGATACTATAAATCCCAAATACTTACAAAACGTCATTTTTAAGAGGATGGATAGTTTTTCCTGTTAAGCAATGCATATACACCCGTGGAAAAAGTTATGGAATAAAAAATAAAAATCGTGTATATTCGTGTTTTTTTTTTGCTTTGTTTTTTGAAAATATTTTGGTAAAAAAAATTAACTCGGCCATTTCTTTAACAAATTTCATTTAAGTTGAAAATTTCTTAGCTCGACGTAGATGAATCATTTCTCGGCGGCTGCAAACCTGCATTATCATTCAAATTTTTACTATTTATTTTCATTGCAATCTTCTCACACTCATAACATGTGTCTACCTTAGGTCTTCCAAATAATATTTCAAAATCTTCTTTAAAAACTTTTCTGTAATAAAAATGAATATGTACTGTAAACATTTTCTACATAAGAGTGATATCTAGTTTCTCATTTGAAAAATACTTTTTCTTGCTAGTATAGTGAGCTCTTCATCATCATCTTTGGCTCTACAACCCTGGGTGGGTCTTGGCCTGTTTAAGAATTAGTCTCCATTCCCCCCATCTTTCGCCTTGGCTTTCCAATTTTTGATCCCTAGATTCCTTAAGTCATCTTCAACTTGAGTTTTAAATTTAGATTTTGGCCTGCCTCTCTTCCTGGTTTCTACTGGCTCTTAATATAATATCTGTCTTTGGGGGTTTCCAGTGTCCATTCTTTCAAGGTGTCCTAGCACCACAATTAATTTTTATAGACCGGACGATGTTGCATTTTTCATAGCATTGATACAACTCAAAATTGTAGCGCCTGCGCCATATCCCGCTTTCTAAGTATTCGTCTTTTAAAGCGGCCTAACAGTTCTTCTGAAGATAACAAATTATATTATAAATATAATTATAAATATAAATATAAAATATAATATTATAAATATAAAAAATATAAACGAATATAAAAAACACATTACTGAAACCAACTCAAGAAAGTTTAATAGAACATAAATCAGAGGCTAAAAAACACTGGATGGCAGAAGAAATACTATTACTGATGGAAGAAAGAAGGAAATATAAACGAAAAGATCTACAGAAGTATAAAGAAATACAACGAATAATTAAGGAAAAAATCAAAACAGCTAAGGAAATCTATTTGATGAAGCAATGTAAAGAGATAGAAGAACTAGAAACAAAATATGATATGAGAAATATGCACAAAAAAATTAGAGAAGTGACTGGAATGGGTCGAAATAGACATCAAAGACACATAAAAGACAAAAAAGGAGTACTACTAGTAGATTTACCAGAGAAGTTATGGCGATGGGAGGAGTACGTTAGAGAACATTTCCAAGATGAAAGAGGTGAAATGCAGAAAATACAAGAATTAAATCCTTTAGAGATACAGAAGATCACGATAGATGAAATCAAATATGCTATCAAAAACTCTAAAGACAATAAGGCAGCTGGATTAGATGAAATACCAGTAGAACTGTTAAAACTAGTGGAAGAGGACAACTTGGAAGTATTGGCAGATTTATTCAACACGGTGTACGATACGGGAATAATACCACAGGAGTGGCTAAAGTCAACATTTATAACCATCCCTAAAAAACAAGCAGCAAAAGAGTGCTCTGATTACCGAACACTGAGCCTTATGAGTCATACTTTAAAAGTTCTGCTAAAAATAATACGTAAGAGAATATACGAAAGGCCAAAGGAGGATATTAGCGAGACGCAGTTCGGGTTCCGAAATGGAATGGGTACTCGAGAAGGACTATTTGCAATCAACATATTAATTCAGCGATGTCGGGATGTAAATGTTGATCTACACTTGTGCTTCGTTGACTACGAAAAAGCTTTCGATAAAGTAAGACATGAAAAACTAATATCAATACTTATGAACAAGCGCATTGACAGTAAAATCATAAATATAGTGCAAACATTATATTGGAACCAAAGTGCAATAGTTTAAATTGATGGGCAACACTCAAAAGAAATGAGGATATGTAGAGGAGTTAGACAGGGATGTGTGTTATCACCACTTTTGTTTAACTTATATTCTGAAGAAATTTTCCAAAACACGCTCAATAATATCGAAGCGGGAGTCACCGTTAACGGAAAATTAATTAATAATTTAAGATATGCAGACAACACTGTGATCATAGCAACGAGTATAGAGGATCTACAACATCTTATCGAAAGCTTGAGTATAAATAGTGCTGAGATGGGAATTACTATAAACGCTAAAAAAACGAAGTACATGCTGATTACAAAAAGGCCACAAAATATACATCACCTATTGACAATAAATGGTAACGTGATAGAACAAGTAGAAAAATATCAGTATTTGGGAACTTTGATCAATGAAACCAATGATCATACTGTAGAAATAAACAGACGAATAGAGATTGCCAGATCAGCATTTATACGAATGAAGCCGCTCCTAACGTGCAAAAATCTAAATTTGGAGATCAGACTACGTACCATTCGCTGTTATATATTTTCAATATTATTATATGGAGCTGAGACTTGGACATTAAAAAAATGTAATTTAAAAAGAATCGAGGCCTTCGAACTCTGGTTATACTGCAGATTATTGAAAATATCATGGACTGATAGAATTACAAATAAAGAAGTACTGGAGAGGGTTGGTAAAGAAACAGAACTAATCACCACTATACAAACCAGAAAACTGGAATACCTAGGCCACGTGATGAGGGGACCAAAATATGAAATTTTGAGACTGATAATACAGGGAAAGATTCAAGGAAGAAGATCTGTTGGCCGAAGGCAGAACTCATGGTTAAAGAATCTACGTGATTGGTACCAATGCAGATCGATTGATTTGTTTAGAGCAGCAAGTTCTAAAATAAAAATTGCCATTATGATTGCCAACCTCCGTAGGGAGACGGCACTCTAAGAAGAAAGAAGAACAGTTCTTCGTCGCTTTTTACCATAGTTCATGTCTCTGACTCGTATGTTAGGACAGGTTTAATAAGAGTTTCATATATTAGTATCTTGATTTTTTTGCTAATTATATGATTAGTATAATGAGCTAACTTTCTGAAATATGATTTAATATGTTCACCAATAGCATATGTAATAATATAAGAAATTACATTGCTTGGGGTAATTTTTTGCTGTTTGTCGAATGGTGATTTTCCTGCACTTAGAAGAAGTACGAGATGCCTCACTTGGTCAATTGTTACTCCGTGAAGAAAACAGAAGGCTAATTTACAAACGATAAATTTTTCTATTAGGGGATGATATGATGGAGTATACATAGCTACTACATCTATTAGATTTTAAAGACTCGCCAAGTTCTTTTCTTCTACGTTGTCGCTTAACTTCAGTTGCGAAAATTAGGCTTTGTAAGTAACAATCTGGCTCATTTTTTGTAGTCAGGACACTTTTTTCTTATATTAATGGCACTGGCAAAGCCAAAAGGCCAGTCATGTTTTCTCATAGTTTTATCATTCGCTTCCATTGTTTACATTATAAACATATTAATATTATATCCATGTTAAATTAAGATAATTATAACACAATAATTTTAGTGTGTTGGTGGATGCCTACTTTTGGTTATTTTTTTTTATTATATATAACATTGTAACTTTTGTTTTATTGTTATTGTTATTTGCTTTTTATTATTTTTTTTTATTGTTTTATAATATTCATTTTGTTAATTTTTTTTTTTTGTTTTTTTTTGGATTGTTTTTTCTTATAGTGTATTTTTATGTATGAGAGAGTAATAAAACAATAAATTATGTATGCAAATCCCTAAACTGTTGATACGGGTGACTCAACGAAAAACAGATATTTGTGAACAAGTTTACAGAAGTATATAGGAAAACAATTTTAAATTGAGTATGACCACCAGGTATAAAGGTTGGAGCAGAATAGAATACAATAGTTGTGAGGGTTACTAATCCCTAAATAAGCTTCCCAGTGTCGGAGTGATGGAGGTTAACAGTTACTAATGAATTTGCAAGAAATGTAAGATGTTTATTTTATTGGTTATATATAACCAATAAAAGTTTATTAAGTACCTACCTATTTGCAAAATAAAGTTTAATTCTTTAGATAAAATAAAACATTTTATTTTATCTGAAATGAGTGCATTCCACGAAGTAAGGGTTTCAACAATCAAACGTTTAATTCTTTAATTCCAGGAATCTACGACAGTAATTGACTAGATAATTACCTTCTAAACTTATTCCACAGAAAATGTGATAGTGGATTTTTCCATTTTGTAGGAAGGTCCAAGTGGCGTATTCAAAATTCTTAACAGTTCACTAAAAGTAGGTACTTCAGTTGCAAGGTGCAGTTTATTGTGTATACTAGTGTTATGGAAAATTTGGAAGTGCCGTGTAAACGCCGAAAAATTGGTCCTTTAACAGTTAATGAAAAAACATTAATATTTAATTGTTTTAAATCATTTACAGACAAACGTTTATGTGAAAGTGTTAATGAGACCGTTGAGTTAGTTAGCAGTACACTTGGTGTTGGGAAATCTACGATTTACAGAGTTATTAAAGAAAAGAAATGTGGTAGTTTTCAAATGACACGTAATGCTCCAGGGAAACCAAAATTTCAAATAGAATATCATTTTAAAGAAGGACTTCGATGGAAAGCGCATGAATTCTTCTTTAGATAAGAATTTCCAACATTGGATAAAGTTCTTGTCTCAGTTCGAGATGATAAGGATTACCCAGAAATGAGTCGAAGTACGTTATGGAAACTTTTAAAAGAAATAGGCTTTCGCTGGAAAAAGAATCCCAGAAAGTCTATTTTATTAGAAAGAAGCGATATTGTTATATGGAGAAGACATTTTCTAAGAACCATAAAGGAAATGAGAAACCAAAAAAGAAATAGTACATTGTTTACCGGGTAGGAAAAGCTTAACATTCCTGGACGACTGTGAAGATTTCTAAGTCGAGGCGCAAGCCGAGACTTAGCAACACAGAGTCCAGGAATGTGGCTTTTCCTACGAGGTAAACATACTATTTTTCCGCAAATCGTTTAAAATTCGACAGATATTGATTGATTTAAAAAAAAAGGCGATAATTTTATTCCCAAATAAATGGTGCTTTGAAATTCCTAATAAAATTACTTGGGTTACTATGGAAACGTATTGAGGTTAAATTGTCAAACTTTATGTAGAACACTAACAATTGTACGGAAATGTCATTTCCTTACTGTAAGGAAATGATATTTATATAGTAAGGAAGTCCTGACTTTTTCTTCAAGAAATTTTGACAGGAATGTCAAAATTTCCTGGCGATTTGCGGAAAAATATTTTATCTTGATGAAACATGGATCAACGAGGGTCATACACCAAATAAATTTTGGCAGGATGAAACTGTTACAAGTCAAAGGCACGCTTTTGTAAATAACTTATCTACTGGTTTAAACCCACCATCAGGAAAGGGTTGATAATAGTACACATTGGCAGTTCAGACGGTTTTGTTGAAGGTGGTTTATTAACTTTTGAATCAACTCGTACCGGTGACTACCATGAAGACATGAACGCTGGTGTCTTTCAAGAATGGTTCGAACAAATGATAGATCTTCTTCCTAACAACTGTGTAATAGTAATGGATAATGCAAGTTATCACTCCAGACTTATAGAAGGACTGCCCACATCCAAGTGGTTAAAAAAAGACTTGCAGAATTGGCTGAGTTCAAAAAATATTACGTACCATCCCGGATCTATAAGAAAGGAACTTTATTCGTTGTGTGCCCTTCATAAAGAAAAATTTTAAAAATACGAAATTGATGAAATTGCCAAAAATCGTGGAATGACAGTACTTAGATACCCACCATATCATTGTGAATTAAACCCGATTAAACTGGTATGGGCACAGATAAAGAGTGAAGTTTCAAGAAAAAATACCACTTTTAAAATTCATGATGTTAAACAGTTGTTTTTGGAGGCCGTAAATAATGTACCTAAAACCTGAAAACTGGGAAAAGGCAGTAAATCATACTATTAAAGAAGAGGAAAAAATGTGGAAGCTGGACAATATTACTGATAAAATGATCGAGCCAGTTATTATAAATCTTGGTTCTGAAAGTTCATCTTCTGAATCTGATTTGGATTTGTAACAAGTAGCTGTAAGTTTTTTTTTTTTTTTTCACCTGAAAAGGAAGGCATTTAACCAATGCATCTTACCAGTCTTGACCTACGGAGCAGAGACCTTAACTTTAACGAAAGCTACTGCCGAAAAACTGAGGGTAACACAAAGGCGAATGGAGAGATCAATGCTGGGCCTGACCTTGAAAGATCGCGTAAGAAATGAGGAGATACGCCGACGAACTGGCGTAGACGATATTATACTGCGAATCAATAAACAAAAGTGGAGGTGGGCTGGACATGTTGCTAGAATGGAAGACGGAAGATGGACGAAGAAATTATTGGAGTGGAGACCAAGAGCCGACAAGCGAAGTCGAGGCAGACCACCCACCCGATGGACCGACGACCTAAAGAGAATAGAAACAAACTGGATTGCAGCAGCTAGAGATAGAGAGAACTGGAGACGTTTGGAGGAGGCCTATATCCAACAATGGATGTGAAAATTTGGCTGGATGATGATGATGATGATGAGCTGTAAGTTTTATATTAATATTTTTATTCATCTATTTAACATACCTTAGACGGTTTTAAAAACTCTTTTTCTCTTTTGTAATTTTTAAAAATTAAAAAAAATGTGAATTTTTTAAAAACCCTTTTTAATGTAGGCCAGTCAGTTCTAATATAGTGTGTGATAAAAGAGGTCACTTTTGTTTACATACACATAACTCTTTATAACACTGAAATTATTCATTTATTTTTTACAATTATTCAAAGTAATTTTTCAATTAATCTTGAGCACGCCCATGGAGTGGTCGAAGGTACCAGTTAAAATTATGCTAATTACTCTCTCGTTCATAAAAATAAACTATAGTCAGGTCCCTAAATAGTTGAAAAAACTGTATTTGTTCGTCGCTACTCATCAATAAAAAGCACTTTTTCCTGCACCTAAAAATAAAGAACGTATTAACAAATTTAGATTTATCAGTCAACAAACAATTGTTTTCAATGAAAACTTTTTAATAGAAAAGAACAAATTATCAACTTACTTGCAATCTTTGGAGGATCTAGAAGTAACTGCAGGAACATTCTTCCCCTTCCAATTGATGTATTCGTTTTCTTTGACTCTAGCTCGCTTTTATTATTTCATTTCTATATTAGTAAGTTTTTTTATTCCTTTTTTTTCTGATTAGGTAAATTAATATCGTTATGATCACTGTCGCTTTCACTCATTTTAAAATATTTTTGTCAAGCTATAATACAAATAAGTAATTTACAAAATTATTACTACTGTCGTATTTACTACACATTTATTTATCTACGTGCATTCACAACACAAGATTGAACTTGACTGAAAATTATTGGCAATATTTGCGCCAAATTATAGTGACATGCGTTATGTACCTATAGAAGAAACGCCTTTAGTCATGGACTTATGGTGTTTCTCTAATACATCGACAAATCATACCGGTGAAGATAGGTTACGAATGCACTGACTGAAATGTGTATTCACAGTTTAAAAGTCCGTTTTAGTGTAAAAATTATCTTGGTAAAATGATGACTTATGGGATTCTCAAATAAGTGATTCTACTATTCTTAAATTACGTTAAGTTAACTAGTCTGTATGGCTGTATGCCAGGCTGTAACCAGGCTGTAATGGGACATTACTGTTATAATGGCAAATATCAACTACTGTTAAATTACCTTAACAAGGCTGTACTTATAAAAAATTGTAAAATGGTATTTCATTTTATTATACTGTGTTGCATCGTATTACATGATATTTCTTTATCTGTACTCCACTAATAATTCGTAGTAGTTTATGCGGATTTATTTTTGCAAATGGACGCACATAAAACATATTTTGCCTTTAAAACTTATAGATTTTTTCCCTTTCACTATGTTAACATTGATTCATAAATTTTTCAACTATTCTAGAATATTAATTCTCAACAGTATGGTATATCAACTTAATTTTTTTTTATATTTTTGATATTTATATAATATCCACGTAACCCAATATTTCTGTATGACGTTAAAGTTTATATTCTCTTTTTTCAGAGACGCATTACGTTTATGACTAGAGACTATTACTATAGAGGTATAAATGGTACACCTTTCAGTCTTGTCATATCACTTCCAAAGAAATATGGTTATGCTCGAGTTGAGCCCAAAGTTGAAAACGACATTCATCGTTTAACTTTGTCTCAACCGCCCGATAAAAAACCACTTTTGCGGTATTTTGCTGGAAATTGGACCATTCACCCTGACTGGTATGTAGCTTATACAAATTGTTTTAATATGAAAATACTGACTACGATCATTACTGTAAACATTTTTTATCTCCATTTCACGTCAAAGTGTGAGGTTACGTTTGTGAATTTACATTATATCGGAAAAAATGGTCTATAAATTGGTAGTAGCTGTAGCAAAAAAATCAAACTCAATGGAAAAATTATTTTAGGCAAGGTACACACTGTGGGTGAAGAGTTTATTATGGATAGCATGTGGCCTTGCATTATCGTAATTTAATGGAACCTCACACACTAAACTTTGGTCGATCGAAAAGAAATGTCCGAAACAAAAACCGCATACTGTAACGTCTCTATTTGTTTCGACAGTTTGTCAATTATTCTGATAAATCTTTGTTCCTATAAATTTAAAAAAAATTCAGGTATTTTGAATAACCTCTTCTTAATATATTTTTTTGATACACGCATTTCAAATTAATTTATTTTGTGGTGAAATAGTTGTTCTATTTTTATTAATCTTTATATTTTATTTTTTTATATCTGTGGAATGCTTTTTATATCAGATTTTCTAACGAAGTTTTAGATGACCCGTTTCTATTATAGCAATAAAATATGAATCCAATACTTTTAACCGATCTTGACTTACTGGACTTGACTTTTCCTATAACTTCCTGAGTAACATAGGGCAACTAGGAGATTCTATCAGAGATCAGCCTCTATTTCCCATCAGGTTTCTCAGTTCGCCCTAAGTCTTTCCAATGCTTCGTACTTTCTTGTTAATCGTCCTGCTCCAAAGTATTTCTAGCTCATTAGAACTGAGATTTTTTGCAATAGCAGCATCTGGTGTAATAAGAGTGGGACCAAGCAATCTCCAATTCCATTTCCGTATTTACATGTAAATGCTCGTTTCCGAAAATAAAAATTCATTGGAAGTGTTATGAACTGTTTCATATTGTATACTCAACATCTTTTATTTTTAAAACAAAAAAAATGGCCATTACTGCTTGATTCCTTAGCTCTCTCTCTTCAATCCTGACCCCGCGGGGGGAGTGTAGTGGTCGACGTGATGTCGTGTATTGTCCGTCTCCAGAGATCTCTGTCTCTGGTCATTTCTTTTAATTCATGCATAGGTCTTTGGCATATTCCTGTAATTTGATCTATCCATCTTGTTGGGGATCTTCCTCGTGATCTTCGGCCTTCTACCTTTCCTTGTATTACGAGTCTTTCCATGTTTTCTGTGTTTGCTCTCATAACATGCCCAAAATATTTTAATTGTTGGAGATGGACTTTACTAGAGAGTCGTTGGCTAACTTTTAGCTCTCTTAAAATTGAATTATTTGTTCTGCGGTCGGTCCAAGGAATTCGTAACATTCGTCTCCAACAGAACATTTCAGTGGCGTCTATCTTTCTTCTATCCGATTGTCTCAGAGTCCAAGATTCACATCCGTTGGTCAGTATTGGGAATATTAAGCAGTTGATCAACCTCATCTTTATCGCTCTTGAAATTTGACAGTCCTTCCATATTTTGGTCATTTTTGCTGTGGCAACTTTTGCTAGATCACATCTACGTTTAATCTCTTCTTGTAATGACCCTGTGTTTGTGATTAATGATCTCAGATATAAGTATGAGCTCACAACCTCGAACCGGTCAATTGTGGTTATGTGTGGATAATTGTTGTGTAGTCTATCCACTATCATGATCTTTGTCTTTGATATGTTTAATTGCAGACCAAATATTTGACTTTCGTTTTCCATCAGTCGTATAAGTTCTATCAGCTCTGCTTGACTATTTGCAAGAAGGGCTGTGTCATCTGCGAAACGTAAGTTGTTTAGTTTATGACCATTTATTGAGATGCCCTTTTCCCATCCTTCAAGTGCTCTTCGCATAATATACTCCCCATATTTGTTGAATAATTGTGGAGATAGTATACATCCTTGTCTGACACCCCATTCTGGATGAAATTCGTTCGAAAGTGTGTCAAGTACTTTAACTGATCCATTAGTGTGTTCATATAGTTCGATTATAAGCATAATTAGATGTTGTGGTACGCCTACTTCTTTTAGTATTCGCCATAAGTGTCTCCACTTGCCCCTGTCGAACGCTTTACGGTAATCTATAAAACAGATGTATAGTGGGATGTTGAATTCCCTAGATTTCTCGATTATCTGTCTTATATTAAGCAGGTGTTCTCGAGTGCCTCTACCTTTGGTAAATCCAGTTTGCTCTTGTGGAACTTCTCTTTGAAGGAATGTTTTCAGTCTCTCATTGATTATATGTAGCATTATCTTGCTGGCATGGGATATAAGAGAAATTGTTCTATAATTGTCGCATTTATGGAAGCTGCCTTTTTTATGTATGGTCGTTATTGTAGATTTTGCCAGTCTTCAGGCCATTGTTTGGAATGCCATATTTGGTTACAGAATAGATGAAGTAACTTTACGCCGGTTTCTTCTGTGGCTTTAAGCATTTCTGCTGTTATCATATCTAGACCTGGTGCTTTGTTATATTTGAGCTTGTTGATAGCCTGTCTTACTTCATTTTCGAGTATATCAGGTCCTTCTTCCACCTCGTCAGAGATTTGGCTAATAAGCTCTTGGCGTTGATCATCTTTATATAGGTCCCTGCAATACGATCGTTAATAAATAAGATACGTTAATATCGAAACGAATTACAAACAATAAAAATTACGAGTGAACTTGAACAAAATTGTCTAATATCGGGTATTATGTCCCAAAACATCAATAACCGTTTGTATATGATTTGGAAGGGAAAGGAACAAATTTTGAGGAAAAACTAGATGAATACGTTCATATTCTTCACGAAGCATGTTCTGACTGGCCTGGATTTTCTGACTGGCCTGGTTGATACAACCCTACAATTATAAGTTTATTCCAAAGATGTTCGATGATATCTAGATTAGGGCTGCAGGCTGGCCATTCTAGAATATTAATTCCTACTTCACATATTCCACGTAATTTGTCACGATTTTTGCAGTATGCGGCCGTACATTATCATGCATAAAGGCAAAAGTGTCCGCAATAAATGGACCAAAGAGAACTACTGCTTCTGAAAAAACATCGAGCTTCACATGAGATTTCAGTCCAAAACATGACACCACCACCGCCAATCTTTCTCCTCTGGAGCATGCCAGCTTGGGCATATCTTTAATTTCTCCGTCTCCAAATCATCTCTCGGCCATCACCAGATTTCAAACAGAATCGTGATTCATCAATAAAGAGAATTCGGCTTCCATCTTGTATATTCCAGTGTTGATATTGTTTGTTAAGTAGAAATTAATCGATTGATACAGTATCTGGGTTGTAATTCGGAACAATAGCCGGCCTTCTTGTCATTAGTCCTCTTTCATTAAGGCGTCTTCTAACCGTTCTCTCAATAACATTCACACTTAGAACCTCCTGCAGACGGTTTCTTACAGCAACTGCACCGGAATGGCGATTTCTTAAAAGTTTCATTATAATAAAACGATTATCTCTTTGCGAGGTAACTCTGCTGCGACCAAAACCAGGTGACTTCAGTACTGTAGTTCTCGGAATACCTAAAGTTTTAGATACATAAAACTTGACTTCTTTCGTCTTGTAGCAATGCAATCATTCTAGGAACATTTACTGTAGATAACACATTTTCTTAATTATTCACTTAAACTAAATCCACGTTTAAAAAGCTAAATTACTGTTTAATTAAATGTTTTCAACTTAGAAAATAAACAACGATTACAGAAAACAACAACATAAACGTCAAATCTGTCAAAAATAAGCATACATAATCGCGGTAAATATTTAAATTGAGACGAAATATAAAAGAGTGCATAAAATTTACAATGAATTTTTATTTTCTGAAATTTATAGGGTGGCCACTTTTTTTGCCGTTCAGTGTAGTATACCGTCTTAACTATTTTATTGAAACGATTCTAATGCCACGATATATCAAAAAGTACATTGTACACAATACCCCTAAAAACAAAAAGTATGAAGAAATATTTATAGATATTCTCTTATTAGTTCTTTATATTTCTGGAAATTGGAAAATCGATTTAATTTTTGCATTTTTTAAACAATTATTAATCTTTCCAGATTCCATATTTTTTAAATTATATATAAATGTATAAAGCAAAAGATTTTGCTATCAAAATTTATAGAAGAAATCATCAGTGATGTATTTGTAGTATTTTGATAACTGTTTTGATCATATACAACAATTGCCTAATAATTTTGACAAATGAAGGCAACAGGAAAACTGGATAAGTCACATTTTTGGTTTTGTTCAGAACATTTTTAAAGTTTAAAACCCTGTGATTATGTTAAAATACATCCTACAATTAATCAGTAATAAAAGGGAAAATGCTTTATCGGTTGTTGGTTTACGTTTATTTTTTTTTAATTTATTTCGCATATTACTGGTATTAATTGTTTTTTATTCTTCTACATGGACTTGAACAAGTTTTTCTACCTTTTTTGACACCCTTTCCATGGATACCTTATACCTTATAATCTGCCTATAACCGTTTCTGAGCTGTACGAATTTGTGACCAATTTGCTATTTTGGACCTTAGATTTTATTATGGAGATTTACGTGGGAAAATGATCAATTTTGTGCATGAAGTGAGGTAGTTACCCTTTTTTAAAAACCGCGTAGGTCGTTAGGAGGTTCATTTGATTTTTTCAATTTATTTACAAGTATATTAACTTTACATTGTAGTATGAAATAACACAAAATAATTTTTGCACAGCTAAACATTTTCCGCACTGGCTTCCCGTTTTATTTTCACATGATAACAGACTGTGCTTGTGAAATGGGAGACTTTAACGCCAAAATTGGAAGTAAGATTGAATACTGAAAGCAAGATTGTAAACTTTGGATTCGGCACAAGTAAAACAAGAGGAGAAAAACTCATGGAATTCCTGGAACAAGAAAACATGTATGTTATGAATACCTTCTATAAAAAGAAACCTAACAGAAAGTGGACATGGGTCGCACCTAACGGAACTACCAAAAATGAAATAGACTATTTTCTCTCAAACAACAAAGGAATATTTGAAGACGTCACAACAATAAACAACGTAACAACGGTATATCGTATAGTTAGAGCAAAAATAAATATAAACATGGAAGAAAAAAGAAAAAGTATTTAAAAAAAAACAACGACGGTAGATGCCTTTAAACTAAGAACAAATGAAGAGCAATTCCGAGAGGACTTAGCGGATAAGTTCAAATCTGATCCTTCACCTAATTAGGATCAAATTGACGAGAGTAATAAAAACATAAATAAAAACCTTCTCGCAGCTGGACTACAGGTCGCAAAGAAAACAACGACTAAAGAAGACAAAATAAGCAATGAAACTAAACAGCTAATGACGGAAAGAAGACAACTACTAGCGCAAAACAAACGCTATTCTCAAGAATACAGGTAACTTAATAAAACAATTAGAAAAAAAATAAAACACGACATACAAAAATAGAACGAGAACTTAATAGAGCGAGTCATTGAAAAAACAGAGACTTACAATGTCTAAGGCCCGCACCGGGAGTTAAAAAAATCATTAAAAGTAAAGACGCTAACAATAAGGAAGACAAGAGCAAATATAAAATAAAAAATATTGTCGAAGACTTCTACATATCCTTGTACAGCTTGCAAAGCCAGCCTAATGAAACAATAAAGGAGAACGTCAAAATAAAAATAAAAAACGTGGGATCAGAAGTACTACCAAATATAAAGGGATTCGAAATAGAAAGAGCTTTAAAAGAGCTAAAAAAAAAGGTCCAGGACACGACGGTATAATTATTGAGCTCTTGAAAACAAGCAAGACATTAACAATCCCTGTACTAACAGAGCTATTTAATAGATGTCTCCATAATAGCAAGATCACTAAAGACTGGAATGAGAGACTAGTAATACTCTTACACAAAAAAGGGACAAATGTGATCTACAGAATTATAGACCTATATCGTTGCTCAGTTAAGTAAACAAACTATTTATGAGAATTATTAACAACCGATTGACCTACAAAATGGACAATTATCAACCGGTTAAACAGGCTGGCTTCCGCAAACGATACGTCAGACCATCTGCTGACAATGACAACATTGATAGAGAAGGCAAATGAATACCAACTATCCGTATTTCTTGGCTTCGTCGACTATGAAAAGGCATTTGATAGTATCGAGATGTGGGCCATAGAACAAGCTATTAATAATTGTAGAACAGATTCGAGATATAGGCAACTAATACATAATATGTATGAAAATGCAACCATGATAGTACAACTGGACGAAAATACAAATCCCATCCCCATTCAGAGAGGAGTGAGACAAGGAGACGTAATATCGCTAAATCTTTTTAACCTAGCCTATGGAAAGAGCAATATTAGGTATACGACTATCAGATAAAAAGAAAAACGACTGGGTAAGATCAAAAACAAAAGTCGAGGACATAACAACAAAAATTGCCAAACTTAAATGGGCCACACTGCTAGACAAAAAGACCAACGTTGGAATACTACAATACAACATTGGAGACCGTTACGAAAGTAAAAGACCAAGAGGAAGACCACAGATGAGATGGGTTGATGACATTAAAAGAATAACCGGAACAAATTGGAAATATGTTGCTTAGGATAGAGACCGATGAAAGGAGTTGGGAGAGGCCCATGTCCAAACATGGGCGATAGAAGGCTAAGAAGAAGAAGAAGAAGAACAGACTGTGCAATCTCGGAAACCATCATTCTCGGGTTTTCTAGTCCTTTTTTATTGTACAAAAACCAATGTAATCCAGTCCGCTAAGTATAAGTTTATTTCGTCATTATTCTTAACAAAGTTCATACTTTTTATAAAAGATTGTCTTTTATGTTTAGAGATTTCATCAAAAAATTTCTTAGCGCAATAACAAGCTTCGCTTAGCACATTAACAGTTTCATGAGACTGTAATTTAGCTGAAATTGAAAAACTTTTTCATTCCTTAAGGTTGATTTAAACACACCAGTCTCGTCTCGTCACAGTCCCGGCGCTGAACCGAACAATTCGTCATACAAAATATTCTTTAATAGAAATATGCCGCCGGCATTCACATTCATCAGTTAACGAACAGTTTCCCAGCAGTCAGGTTTCGACACGTCTATCGCTCGGCCGATTTTATAATCTCAGCGACGAATCTTTTAGTTTTGCCGGGAACATGACGGACGGTACCAGTGAACAAAATAAAATTATTGACGAACAATTATTAGAATGTTTAATAAAATATATTGGTTTGTCGCATGCAAAATACATGGACATTAATTTTAAAAATAATATTTGGCAAGAAAGCAATTTTTCGACATCCTAAAATATTGATGAAATTTTACATCACGAAGCAGTTCTTTATACAGTGTCACGTATTATCCTTCTTTATTCCTTTTTTTCCATGCGTCAGGGATGCATTTCCGTCTTTTTGTTTGGTTTGTTTGCGCTTCTTCTTCCTCGTCCAAACATATAGCAATTATTGCTAATTCTTCATCTGAGAAACTTTCCATCTTTTCAACAGATTGGTTGCCGAAGACTAATGCATTTCGGGTGTGTACGAATAGACGAACGAATAGTTCTGTGACCAGACGGAACCGGTTTGGGGCCGGGACTGTGACGGGACTGGTAATTGATCACTCGAACGCGCACAAGTATCTGCCATGATTATTTTGATGAGGTGTTATGTATAAATAATTACTTTCACTTTAAAATAAAACAAACTGATCTGACTTTAAAATAAAACAAACTGATCACTAACATAACCCTTAGAACAACGAAACTTAGAGCATCTGTAAAAATCAAGTTACTCAATGTCGCATGCCTACAGAATTACAGTCGCAACAACTAGAATTACCTGGACTTATCTATGTTTTCCCCTGTTTTGAACGGATATGCCAAGTTCTTTTCCTGTACGTTTTTCAAAAACTTTATTTTTGACTTATAAGATTATTACTGTGCGTTGTGTTACTTTTGGAAAATACAAAATTAAAACTAAAAAGTGGTACTAAAAACGAGAAATGTCACAAAATGGACTTCAAATGCCACTCTGGCAGTATAAGAATCGACTTTTATTTATTTATTTATTATTGATTTAGGTTTATGTATATTGTCGCATTAAATCTGTGGTATATCCACTAAATATTTAATGTTATTCCATTAAATAATATACTTTTATTTTTATTCTCACACAAATCTCAATAATTTCAGGCATTATTGTCGATACCGAGACAATAAGAAACATTTTGATAACCCCGAGGAAGAGTTGGTCTTCTTCCTTCAAATGATGGAGAGACATGGTTGGAAATGGTCGAAAGAATCGGAGTGTAAGTAAAATTGTTTTAAAACCATTAAAAATAGGTATCAAATTTTTTGCGTATACAATATTGGTTTGAATATTTCCAAGGGAATATTATTTAGAAAAATTGTCAATATAAATCACGTGATGAATCGGGAAATAATTAAGAATATTATTTGAAATCTCACAATTATGTTATTTAGCTTAAATGTTGTTTCATCTTTTGTAAAGGGTATTAATAAAAATGCTATACATAAATATATTTTTTGCTCTATTATTAGCTTCACCTTTTTTTGTTTTTGTGGATCTATTTTTATTTATATTCCTTTTCATTTGATCCATTTTACTGGTAGTAAAATGGATCCAATGATCCTTCGGTGTTTTTTCATATTCTAATTTGGTGTTTGAAGAAGAGTTGTTTCCTCTTGCTATTTGTTTAAATGTTTACTTTCACAATTTGCTTAACTTTATTTATACGATCTTTAGTTCTTATACGATCTTGTGTCAAACATATTCATCAAAAATATTTCATTTGTGTTTATCAAGAAATCTATTTTAACGAAATTTTTGACACGTTCTAAACCAGCGGAGTACTAATTTTCTTAATATTTTGATATTTTATGTGTTGAAAAAACATAAACGTACCCGTTTTTGAGTAATAACGTACCCTGGAGCACATATCGGATCTGATCACAATCTCGTAGTAGGAAAATTGAAAATTAAGCTTAAGAAAATTAAAAGAAAATCCATAAAGAAAATTGATATAAACAGCTTAAAACAATGTAACGTTAAACTAAAAGTTACAGAAAAATTAAATAAGGCAATATCGGATATCACTGCAAGATCTAAACAACCGGACAGTATAGAAGACAAATGAAATTGTATTAAAAAAGCTATCGTAACCACCACAAAGTATCTGATCGCTTCCCAAAAATACAAAAAGAGAGTTGGATGACTGACGAAATATTAGCAATGACGAACGACCGCAGATCATTTAAAAACAAAGACTGAACCAAACATTAGCAAATTAACCGACAAATACGAAAAGAGTGTCGCAAAGCTAAAGAACAGTGGCTGCTAGACAGGTGTGCAGAAATGGAGGAATTGGAAGAAAAACATACATGAACTCGTTAAAGAAGTGGCTGGCCATACAAAACTTTTAACCCAAGGATCTACTTTAACATTGGAGAAACGACTAGCAACTATGCTCAAACAATACTAGAAGAAACTCTGAAAGTGAATATAAAAGTGAACCCCTTCCCCAACATATTGAAGTCAGAAGTTGTAAGGACAATCAAACAGAGCAAATGGGGAAAGCACCAGGCACAGACGACATATATATATAGAGGTTATAACAATGTTGAGTGAAGACATTATAGGCGCCTTGGTAGATCTTTTTAACGACATTTATCGGTCCGGTCAAATACCACAGGATTGGCTTCAACCCACCTTTATACCAATCTCAAAAAAGTCAAACACTAATAGTTGCGACCAATTTCGAATGATTAGCTTATTGAGCCGGGTCCTAAAACTCTTCTTAAAGATAATTCACCCAAGAATATACAACAGATGTAAAGGAGACATTAGCCCCACACAGTTTGGTTTCAGACAAGGATTTGGCACAAGAAAAGCACTTTATAGCATAACTGTCCTACTTCAGAAATGCAGAGTTCAAAAACATCTCTTCCTATGCTTTATAGATTACCAGAAAGCGTTCGATTGTGTTAATCATTCAGAATTAGTAAGATTGCTCCAGGAACGTTCGATATATGAGAATGACCTTAAAATCATAAATAACCTTTATATAAATCAAGTGGCACCTGTGAGAGTAGGACTGTAATCTACATCACATTTCTCAATCGAAAAGGTGTACGACAGGGTTGTGTTCTGTCACCCCTCCTTTTTAATATTTACTTTGAAACGATTTTCGATAGAGCCTTAAGTGACACTGAAGATGGAATCAAAATGAACGGACAGACTATAAGTAATCTTCGCTATGCTGATAATACAGTCATAATAGCTGATAGTCAAGAAGCGCGACAACAACTATTAGATAGAATAAATACTGAAGGAGAACGACTGAGCTTGAAGATGAATATAGACAAGACTGTGGTAATGGTGGTTAGTAGAACACGAAATATGCAATTAAATATAACCCCAATTTCAGATATCTCGGTAGTTGAATAACTGAAGATCTAGATCACCATGGGAAGAAGATGTTGTATAAACTAAAATAAGTATTTCCAAATTTCGTCCAGAGATAGATATTCTATTGCTTTATTATTTTTATATATTTAAAATATTACATTTATATAAATGTTTTATTTATAAATGTTAGCTTAGAGAGTATACGAGTGTTAAAAATTTTCCAATTTTGTTATTAATTAATTGATTTATGTTTTATTTATTAGTTTTCGTTAGTTTCATTTTTAGTGAAATTCGGGTAAAATGTATTAGGGGGTACTTAAAATCAATCAAGTTGTGTAGTAATTTTTTTCATAAAAATAAATTATTAAGTATAAAAATTATTTATTTCTAATTATGAAAAACAATCGAAGTATGCTCTAAAAATTTGAAAAAATGGTTTATTTAATATTGTTGAAAAATAATTATTACTTAGATTAATTGACATTAAAAAAATGGTTGAAATCTTTTAATAAAACTAAATTTTCATGTATATGTTTCCTATATAAACGGGTGACACTGTATACTAATAAAGCCTCTATGATGTTAAGATTCGGTCATTGACGGTACGTCGCGTATATCTATGTATGTGTCTAATCTTACCCACATCTATATATATATATATATATATATATATATATATACCGGTATTTAGGCGACACCCGCAAGCCCTTATCTCTTGCCGTACTGCTCCACCATAGGCCGATCAGACACCAGCATATTCTAATCTAAGCCGCAGATTCATCTAGAATTTTAAACTGCTGCGTTAGCCTTTTGGTTTTCAGTACACCGAGTTGGGGATCGAACCCACACCCACTGAACCACTCGCAGCGAAGTGAATGAGAAACCTGCGGCCCAGCCCGCTTGTCTACCTCACCAACCTTTTCATTAATTTTACAGTGTTTAAAAAAATGCTAAAAACCTTGAGTTATCCTTGTCTGTCTGTCTGTTGGTATGTCCGTAAACACAACTCCTCCGTTATTAGAACCAATAAAGTGACAAGTAAGGTGTCGAATGAAATCTTATAACCCAAAGATGGTAGTAAAGGTTAGAAATTTGACCTTATACTTCTTGGCCTTGGGCATTTAACCTAATGTTTTAACATTACCGAAATAGTACAAGCGATATTTGTTCGAGGCAACTTTTTAAGACGAGAACAAATAAAATCGACGTAACTTTACATGAAGAGTTCAAATATCGACTTCCGATTCTACTTTTGCTTTGTAGTATTAGACTTTCCAATTGCCATTTGCTTTTGTAGTATTAGAATGTCAATTCGTTGTTTCATTTCAATAATATAACTCTATTTATGTAGGTGACAGAAAATTGGTTTGCCAGGTGGTATCCGACGCGAAGTTAACTGATTGGTTTAATGATAATATAACTACGACCAGTAGAGAAGAAAATGGGTAAGTGATGCCAAGTTTTAAGTTTCATGTAATTTTCATCTTACTTCAAAAATAATATTAAATTAATAAACTTTGTTTTTATTGAAAGTCCTATGTCAATATTGATGGCATCAGCAAGGTATAGTATTAAATATATCGGTATTTAATTAATTGGTACGGCAAATAAAGTATTTAATGCTTAATACAGAATGTTTCTATATTGAGCCCTCACCATTCGACATCTGTGAGCTTTGGCTAATTTATGAATTTTGATATAGGAACAGGAATACTTCTACTTCTTACTAGTGTTGCGTAGTTGTTAATTGAGTTTAAGTTGAAATAAAAATTAAAAATTAATTTTAAATCAAAAAAATGTACAATTTTTTTTTCAAATTTAGTGTTTAATATGTTCTGTTCGAAAATAATACATTGAATTTAAGAACGATTTCCCAGGTGTAAATTAAATGTTATTTTTAATTAAAATTGTAGCTTGTTTGTAATAAATAATTAAGTTTAAAAAAGTGGTGAGTGTTAAAATTAAGATTAAACCACCTTTTTACTTTAAAAGCAGTCTTGTTCCAACCATTTTGTATATTGGACATTATATATCTTATAGTGTGTATGTTTTGAGAGAATATAAACTACTGAGATTTTAGTTTAGCACATCTGAGTTTTAACCACGGTGTTGTTTTGATTCCGTGCATTTAGGCAATATTTAAACCCTTTAAAAATTCATGTTCCTATATAAAAATGAATCAATTAACGGGAGCTGCCTGGAGCAAAGCGTTGTCGGTTTAGTTTGGAAACCCTCTGTATTAGATATAGTTTTTGTTTATAAAACACCACCAATTTAAATTTAAACTTAATTGCAATTAGAACTTAAAGGGTACCCCCCATTAAGACAGGCAAAATGCCTTTATTCCCAGAAGTTTTTTTTTATTTTTTTTACGTTCTATGTGATTAAAAAATATATATTATTTATAATATATATATATATATATATATATATATATATATATATATATCATTTTCATATTTGCATGCCAGCATTTGAATAAAACATCCCAAATTGAGGTCCTTTTAAGGAAATATTGCAATAGAGCCTACAGCATCAACACGTCAAATATCTGCAATCCAGACCTTCAAATTGAGTTTCGTGAACTAATGACTGAAAGAATTCGCGTTCAACCATGAGTGTTAAAAAATAGTTGTGACACTGAGAATGTACTTTTCTCAAGTATCTATAATTTTCTCAAGTACGAATCCCATCTGAGAATGGGATTAAAAATAAAAACACAGAAAACCAAGTATATGTATTGTACTAGATCAGGCAACCAGATACCTAGACTATTAATTGATGATCTGGAGCTGGAAGGTGTGGACACCTTCATCTACCTGGGCTCGCTGCTGACCAAAGACAACAATGTCAGCGAAGAAATTAAAAAAAGAATAGTGCTTGCCAATAAGTGCTATTATGGCTTGAGAACAGATGGCTCCAAAACTACCCAGAAAAATTAAAATCACCATATATAAAACACTAATAAGGCCAGTGTTAACATACGGGTCAGAAACGTGGTCACTTACACAGAACGACCAAGAACTGCTTAGACGTTTCGAGAGAAAAATTCTAAGGAAAATATGTGGAGGAGTCCAAGAACAGGGTTTGTGGCGTAGGCGCTACAACATTACACAGAAGTTTTGGGGAACCTGACATTGTAAAATCAGAAAAATTTTCGACCAAAGAGGACCAGTGGGAAGACGATCCAGAGGGAGACCAAAACTTAGGTATCGAGATAACATAGAGAATGATCTAAAATCCATTGGAGTTAAAGCATGGAGAAGAGTTGGCAGAGACAGGGGCGAATGGAAGATTGTTCCGAAGAAGGCTTTGGCTCATGACGAGCTGTAATGCCACTGATAATGATGAATGTACTTTTATGCGGAATAGTAATGTAAATAAACAAAACTGTCAGTACTGGAGTGATGCAAACTGAATACCTCAATAGACTCAATATCCTGAAAAACTGAATGTTTGGGCAATAATATTAGGCGATGCTATAATTGCCCCCTTGTTCATACCAGGCAATTTAAGTGGCGGCATTTATCTAGATATGCTGGAAAACACCGAACCTTTAATTGTGCATAAATTAGAGAACCAAAGGGGCGATCAAAGCAACCTAGCTCTAGACGAAGATATGCTGCACTTCCAACAAGATGGAGTACCTCCTCACTATGCAGCTCCTGCTAGGCACGAGTTGAATACTAATTATCCGAACAAATGGATTAGAAAAAGAGGTCCTATTGAGTGGCTACCGAGGTCATCAGACTTATCACCACCTAACTTTATCTATGGGCTTACCGCAAGTCAGTTGTTTATAAAACTCAACCTGTGTCACTTGGGGAATTGCGAGAAATAATTACGTAAACATATCGAGCTATTACTAAAACAACATTTGCCAACAAAAAATTCTGAAAAATCAGAGATATAGTTTTTAATCAAATACACAAAATAAAAAAAATGGACCTACAGCCACGTCCAAAAAAGTTATAAGGTAAGATGGGGCAAGTGCATTATCGGGCAAGTGCAGAACATTATCATAAAAACCTATCACTTTTGAAATATGGGCTGCCATCTATTATTTGGTATCTTTAATACCCGTGACAACAGTCTTTAACAACAGCGAGCTGCTTTATTACGTTTCACTGATGTTATAGGTACGGTAGTGTCACTTGTGTTTTGCAACTTCTCGAGCAAGGTCACTGATAAAAATTAATCCATTTATATCTACCGAATCTGTGAACATCTTTATATTATTTTTGGTAGGTAAGTATCTTAGGCACAATAGTTTATGATAAACATAATATATTTTTTAAATATTTACTTTTTGACAGTTTTTATTGTTGTACCGCTCTTGCCCCACGTATTTTTAAAGTCGGGGCTAGTGCGGATAAAATTGTGGGGTAAGAGCGGCACATATTACGCACTTGCCCCAAATCTCACACAGTTTTTCTTTATGCTTTTAGTTCCACCATGGTGAGAAATTACATTCGCAGAAGTAGCAGGGGCAAAGGATATACGAAAGAGAGTTTAAAAATTGCACTGTCGGCAATTAAATCTGGGCAAATGACTTTATACCGAGCTACTAAAGTGTACACAATTCCAAGAAGTACTCTCCATGATCACCTTAAAGGTAGGAGAGGACAAAAAAGTTCCAGCTATGGAAGAACTCAGGACATTCCTCAACAGGAAGAAGAAAAACTAGCAAATGGCCTTCGTACTATGGAAAAATGGGGTTTTGGCCTTTCTAGAAAAGAAGTGTTGCAGGTTGTAGCTGACTTCGTCAAAGAGAATAACATTAAGACACAGTTTAAAGATGGTAAACCAGGAGAAGATTGGTTTCTTAATTTCAAGCGTAGACATAACCTCTCTATTAAAAAACCCCAGAGTGTTGAATTTGCTAGAAAAAAAAACCTTGACCCATTCCTGATCTACAACTATTTTGATTTACTTGAAAACGTTATAGAAGAACTTGGTTTGCAAGAACGCCCGTCGCAAATTTGGAACTTTTTTTTGGAAGCAGTTTTTGCACAGATCCGTCAAAAACAAAAATTGTCGGACAAAGGGGAGCTCCATCCACAAGAACTATTAGTGGGCCTGGCAAACAAAATACAACTGTTCTTATGTGCTGCAGCGCAAGTGGCAAAAAAGCACCTCCGCTTATTGTCTTCAAAGGTAAACATGTTTGGGACCAGTGGACTGCTCCGCGTGGCACGGAGTTTTTAGATACTACCTACGCTGCCACTCCTAAAGGGTGGATGGAGACAACTGTATTTAGAAACTATTTTGAAAACAGTTTTTTAAAGTTTATTGGTTCAGAACGACCGGTATTAGTAATTTACGACGGACACGCGAGTCATCTTGGAGCAGATGTCATAAATATAGCTGTTGAAAACCATATTACGATACTTAAGCTCCCTCCTCACACCAGTCATGTACTCCAGCCCTTAGATTTGTGTGTATTTAAATCACTGAAGACCCGTTGGGATGCTAAACTTGTTGAATGGCAGAGAAGAAATGTGGGGGCCGCTGTAACAAAAAGTATGTTTTCCAAGATGATAGGAGAAATATGGCAGGAAACCAGGCCCGAAATATTAGTGAGTGGTTTCATTAAAGCAGGAATAGTTCCGCTGAATAGGAATATTATTCAGCAAGATTTATTTGACCCAGTGGCTCTCCAACGTTGGCAAAAAAACCCGTAACGTGGCTAGGTTTGATGGTCCCGACTTAACTTTGCCTAGTACATCAGCAAAAAATAATGAAAATCCAATCACAGTCGAAGCACAGTCAACTTCCAGCTCGACAGATATACAAACATTTCAAGAAACTGAGAAGATTCTGGATGTTTCATTCGAAGAGTTGTTATTGAGGTCAACCAAACGTGAAAACAATTCTAATTCGAAGAAAAGAAAACGCGTGTGCTTGGGTGCAGAGGTGATAACAAGAGCCGATGTTGAAAAAATTTTAAGTTCAAATACAACAAAAAAAATATAAACCAGAAAAAAAAATTAAAAAGATTTACAAAAAAAAATTGCTGAAAGCAGTTCCGAAAATGATAATAGTTCTTGGTACAGTGATTCAAGCGAAAACAGAATTGTTGAATTTGACGAGCTAAGCAAAAGTGATTTGGAAGAGTTTGATGAAAAAACCCTACTGACAAACTTACATTTACCAAAATACAAATTGGGGATTTTGTATTAGTAAATTTTCCTGGAAAAAAGAAAATGTTCAAATATGTTTGTTTGGTGAAACAACTGATCAATGGTGATGAAGCCGAAGTAACAGGCTTGAAAAGGCTCACAAATAAGTGCCATTTTATTTTAAAACCCAACGATGTCTGCACTATTCTACTGTCGGACATAGAAACAAAACTACCTGTTCCAAAAATATCAATAACTGCTGATTACGAAAAGTATATTTTTGAGACTGCACCTGAAGTGTTTGAAGCATAGCATAAGTATTT